GATTTCTTTATACAGGAGAAGCGTACAGCACCATAGTTTGTTGAGTCTGCCTCAACATAGCAAAGCCTTGTCTTTTTACAGGGGGGGGGAGTTCCCATTACTGCAAATGGGAGCTTCTTCTTCCCATGCAAACAGCAGCGAAGGACAAATTAAAAACCCCCGATACCCATTTCTGATTATTGCACAGGTGGCCTCTTATTTCAGGGACCGGATAAACTGTCTAAAACGCGGTTAGCAACACTCCTGTGGTCCCATTCGGAAAGGGCAAAGTGGTGCCAAGACCCAAGAGAGCAAAACTGATCTGCCTTTAGTAGAACTGCTTCCTTGCTCCATTGATCCTGGACTGTAGGATGGTCCAGAGAGGAAGAACACTCTAGAAACACCAGAAACAGGGCTGAAAAATTCAGGAATGTGCTGCAGCAATGTCAAAAAGAGGTACTTTCCAAGTGAGGACGGTGCACCGAGAGTTGCCAAAATGTCCAAAAGGTTTCTTAATTGCTTTATCCAGAAAGTACAGTTCTGTACATGCACACCACAAAATATCAGAGGCCCTGGATGCCCCCAGTAATACAGTAGCATGCATAACCAATTTGCTGGTGCTATTATTATTTTTTCATCCCCCCCCCCTTTTTTTTGCCTCTTTTGGCAATGAGCTGTGAATGACGCTTTCTAAAAGCTGCAGGCGCTTACCTGTTTGCATAGCCGGCTTCCTCTGATCTGGAACCTGTGGAAGAGAAAGAAACGGCTTTATTTATTTTACTGATGCCGTTTATATAGCCGCCCATCTCCCACAAGAGCTCTGGCTAGGGTACAAGGATGAAGAACACCAGCTCCGAAAACCCCACCAGATATAACTCCAGGCATCCAAAGACAGACAACCCCCATAGAAAAACAACAACACCACATCAACTACAACAGCACCGCTCATCTAACCTCCTGGCTCCAGCACCTGGGGGAACAGCCAGGTCTTCAGAGCCTTGCAAAACGTGAACAGGACCGGGGCTCTCCGAATCTCTGGGGAGATGCTGCTTCACAGAGCAGCCGCAGCCGCGGAGAAGGCACAACTCCGGGGTCCAGCAAGAATCATGCAAACGTATCTCCCCCCGTTCAAATTCTCAGCAGCATTTTTGATTGGAGGAAATTTACGAGCTTTTCCTGAATGCCTGATTAAGACAGGCTACCCAGCTAATATATTTCACCGGTGCCAATGGGACGTGCCACAATAATCCACCCTAAATCTAGTTCAACCTTTGCTGCCAAAACGAACAAAGGCTGTCAAAGTTGCTTTCCGTTAGCTCCTCTTGTCTGGGTGGGGGGGCCTTGCCTGCTCAGTGTGGCTTTCTTTTTGGGGGGAGGCACTGAGACCATCTTCAAACCAAAGTTTGGGGGCTTCTGCCATTGCTTTCTGATTTTTTTATAAACACGTTTGGCCCGGAGGTGTCTTTAAGAAGCAAAGGCAATGTTTTGCAGCAAGCCACCTTTGCCCGCAATTTGTTTTTCTGAATTAAAAGAATAGCATAAAACAAAATGCAGGAGAAACAAGAAACCTGGCAAATGTTCAAAGACGTGTCCAGGAGCACATTAGCCCAAGATACTCTGTTTTAAGAAACGAAAAGAAAAATTTGTGCCGCATATTTAACCAGTTTCTGAATGAACCCATTTTCTGGGTTCATCCAGAGCTTTAGACCATAAATTAAGTAGAGTGCGTTTATACACCACATTAATCCACCTACTTACCCATAAAAGGCAAGATTAATACTAAACAAATGCACAATGTGGTACAAATGCTTAGGTGAGATCTTCATCTGACCCAGTGAAGTGTACTGTCTGAACATGCCCCAAAGATATGGTCTTTTGGTACAAAAATTGGTCCTGCTTCATCTGTGCTCCCCCTGATTACTATAACCATCTCTCCTCTTGCCATCTGGTATGACAAATTCATTTTCCATCCCATGACACTTGTTATTCTAACTCTGCTGTCCATTCATTCCAGGTAAGGACATCTTCTCACCTGACCTTACAACATTCCATGGCTTTGTCCCTCCCTCTCCTTAAATCACCAAATGGTGACCCAATATCTCTTCCTATGACCTTCTCAGGCCAGCACCCTCACTCTTGGGTGTCCCACAGCCCCCTCCTCCAAATGGGTGGATTTCTACTCACTGGCCAAGACAGTCAGTACTGAAAAAATTGAAATCCATGCCTCAGGAAGGTCCACATCCCCTGTTGAGAAGTGCCTCCAGGTCACTCTGAGATGTTTCTCAATCTACCCTAAACTTCAGTTGAATTTGGTTTACCACCAGAAGGCAAAAAGGAAAGGGAAGGAGCACAAGATTTTAAATAGCTCAGACAATGAGCTTTATCCGATTATATACTGTGCTGTATTGAATACAATTATTTAATATATTTATATACTCCTTCTTCAAGGAAGCTGCATTTAGGATTCACAAACAAGGTTCAAGCTAAAGTAGTCCTACTGAAATCATGGAAGTCTCTTTTCTATTATGTAGAAAATTTCTGTATTTTGGATGCATCTCCTCCAACGACAGAGAAAGAGGGAGGAACGCTCTAGGTTCCATATGAAACAAGATTATAGCTTAATTCTAAATAAAGAAGAATTCCTTGATATATAGCAGAAAAGGTAATCCATCATATGTTCCTCCCTGGGCTTTGGGATGATGACCTTTCATTTTAAAGATTATCTATGGTAGTTACTGCTTCTTAATCATTTATTCTTAAGCGGCTACCACTTTGGGTTTTGCATGATGAAAATGCCGGGACAGGAAAACCTATATTTAGCACCCCAGTACGAGAATGAGTCCTAAAGCGCAAGTACAATTAGGGTGTGAAAACGCAAATGCTACTTCCAAGAAGACAGCGCAGCCTCGTCACTTTCTTGGCTCTTACTACCATTCCAAAAGTGGGTTTTTGTTTCTCCGTTCCCCTAGCCTCCTCTTAGCATAAACATGATCTTTTTCCCTTGCTTCCTCCCCAGCCCAGGCCTATACAACAGGCTTTTCCCAACGTGGCACGTTTCCAGATGTGTGGGACACCAACTCCCACCATTCCAACAGCTGTGGAATTCAGGCTACTGTCGAATTCACAGCTATGGCTTCACATCTGGAGGGCAACAGATTGGAGGAAGCTGGAACACCTAGACTAGCATGAATGGAATTGCAGATGAAGGGTCAGAACCATAAGGGAGCCCAGGGGATGAAATAGGGAGATCATGGGGATGAAGTTACGTAATGGGCAGAAGGAATAAACTTGAGGAACAAGGAGGAAGAGGGGCTACCAAAATAACGTCAGATAAAAGAAACCTGAGTCCGGGCCAGAGCTGTAACCTGAGAAAGCGTCTCAGACAAGACCCTTCCTAGTTCTCACAAAGATAAAGGGAGGGAGGGGGAAGCACATTCAGACTTGCAAGATTCTGCCACTATAGCTTTACAATAAAAGTAGTATTGCCCTGCATGACTTTGGTTTCCTAGCATGGTCTACCTTGAAGGGCTGACACTCTGCTTCCTCTTAAACCAACCACAGTCTCCCTACCAGGCCTCAGACTAAGGCTCTGTCTTCCTTGGGACATTAAAAAACCCAGGAGGTCTCCATGAAGAAAAGAGGAAGCCATAGGAGATAAACATTTTCTCCTTTCTCCACACCAAGAGAAGGAACCAGCAAATGCCCCCTTCCTCTACCTACAGATGAAACAGGAGCAATTATTCTGTTCTTCTGTCTGCACAGAGGGGAGGCCCAGGCCCAGGGGGTCCAAAAAGTCAACACAGCTGCCACAACCACAAGATTGAAGCCCTGCCACCTTTTAGCATGCATTGTGTGTAAAAAAAAATAATAAAAGAGTCAGGGTTTCTGTCATATAGCCATGACCACCACCTTGTCTTTGTTTCAATGCCCCTCACAGGCACCAAGACAGGAAACTATCACAGTAAGATCTATGGACCCCAGGTTGACTAGCCCATCTCTACATGCATTAAAGGAAGGCTGGTATTTTACAGAAGGAGCATCTTCTAGTTTTAAAATAAGGCTATCTTCATTCAAAACAATAACCTCTGGATTAACAATGCAATACTAGGCCAGGTTTACAAAAAAAAACCACTGAACCAACTCTGTTAAATGTGGCTGGATTTGCACAAAGGGCAAAGTTTGATCAGTTTTAATCTTTAGGGCTTTTAACATTTTGTTTTGTGTTTATTTTCTGTTAGGGGAGGAGAAAGATGGTTTAGCCTGTGTGTGAATCCACCTACTGGTTAGTTAATGGTTCAGTATATCTCAGTGACTCAAAAACTGGGCTAATTAAATGAACTGTTGAAATGAAGTGAACATGAACATATTTGGGTTGTTGGGTTGTGCAAACTACAGTTGTGTTCACAGAACATGCAGTGGCCAAATAAGCCTTATTATGGATTAACATGATTTGGACAACCTGCTAAGGTAATGGCTGAGAACACAAAATATACTGAACTACAAAGTGTCCAACCAGAGGTGTCCACAGAGTATGGTCAAAAAGTCAAGGTGGTGGTCACAATGGTGAAATCAAAGCACTGGCTGTTGTTGTTGTTGTTGTTTTGGTCTGTGTGTCACACCGTCATGGGCACCAACTTTTTTTTCACCATATCCTGTGGATGCCTGTGTTCAACCAAGTGTTAAGACAAACATGTTGTGTATGACATCAGCCAGGTAGCACAGACCAACCCGAAGATCAAGCAATCTGTGGGGATGATGTTTGAGAAATTAGCTTTTTCTCCCCCAAGCTTTGCATCTCCTTCCCTTTCTAGGGTCTTTGGAGCACCCTAGAAAAGAACCAAAGGATGCTTAGATCAACTCAGGCACAGATGAAATTCCACTACCTTTTTGGGCAAATCCAGCAGATCTCGGAAGGTGTCTGAAATCTTAGCACAATCTAGAAAGGTGGTATCGTCCTCCTGTGGTTTCCGACAGTTCTGTACTCGCTTCAGGAACATGAAATCTTCATGCAAAGTCATTTCACTGCCCATCTGTCAGGGAAAAATCATCACAGCCCTCGATAAATATTAGAATCATGGCTGCCAAGTTTAATCAACTGGTTGGCTGACTGAGTCAACCGGAACACTTGGGCAATTCTTTTTCATGTGAGGGACCAGTGAGAAATAGGTTACGAGAGGCATTGACTCGTTCTGTCTTTCACTTCTTCACTCTTGCACTTTTTTTAAAGATGGTTCCAGATGCAAAGCCTATACACCAGTGTTTCTCAGCCTTGGCAACTTGAAGATGGGTGGACTTCAACTCCCAGAATTCCCCAG